AACAAATTTTTTCGTCCCCGCCAACCCCTCCACGGTCTCGCGGAAGATATCAGACGAGTCACTAATGATATCATGTATCTTTATAGCTTGCTCGCTGGGTAAGTGTGATAAGTTGACTTGTCCAATTGGGTCCGGTGAATTGGGGGTTTCACACAATGACACAATCGTAACTGCCGAACTTCCTTTTGCCACAACAGCACTCCTTTTCATGATGTGCGCTATTTTAGTCAAGATTTCCGGGCAGACACACAAGAAGTCCATGCCAAGGATGCCTTGATTCCCGACCAAAATCTCAGAGTCGACACCGATGAATTGCGTAGGAACGACCTTACTACCGAACTTCACTTTAAACAAAAAACTCCTGTCGCATCTCATGATGCCCCCAGATACCTCTTTGACCCTTACGTTGACCACATTACATTGGTGGTGTGCACCCCCCAGAGACTCCAAATTCCTTTGGTTAATGAGGGACCTTTCGGCCCCGGTGTCAATTAACAAGCTCACAGTGCGCTTATTAATTTCACCAGAAATAATTGGGAGCTTGTGGTCGTTGATTTTGGGTTCCTCAGCCAGGTCGATGATCAATTCCGAGCCACTGATCTGGCTGCGACAGTGGCTCCCTTCGAGTTTAAATTTAACGGACAATTAGAGCACAGGTGGTCCTTGCTTTTGCAAATGAAACATTTCCGTTCGGGACCAGCCCTTTTGGTTTGTTCATTAGTGTCGTGCTTGTTTGGATTAACAGACAATCCCATGACTGCCTGCGAAAGCTTAGTAACGGTTTCCTCTAAACTAGCCAGTTTTGCTGATAGCTCGGCCATGTTAGTTGATTCCTTACTGGGATCTTCCGTCCCGTTAAACGGAGGCACGACTATGCCACCCACCTGTACTTTATGAAAACTGCACGATTGTTCGATCTTATACAATCTTTCCGCTACCTCGACCGCACTATCAAACNATCCAGTTAGAAAAGCTAAATTTTGTAGATGTAAGCCTAAAAATGCATATTGCCACAAAAGTAATGTACTGTAATGTATTTTATTATTAAATTGATAAACAGCCCTAAAACTTGTGAAAGCAATTTAAGTGTGGAATAAGTTTCAGTTTATCACAACAAATATAACAAAATCTCTCTATTATATATTACATTTCATTAATATACAATTTGAAATAATACAATAATAATTTTGATTTTTACTTAAAATTGTTTTTGTATAAAAGGTTTGAATGCAATGCATGCTTATTTTATTAATTTTGTTGGTATGTAATATAGACTATTCTGGAATGAAATTGTTATTTATCGTAGTCTTAATCATTTTTATTTTTTAATAATAATATTTAAAAACTTACCTTCTTGGCAACATATGTATTGTCCATTGCTCTAACAATAAGTAAGATATATCTGAAACTGATGAATTATCAATAGTTTGATTACTAGAAGAATTTGAACAACATTCTGGATATAGCAAAACTTCAATTGACATTGGAATTCTGTTTTTCCATAAAAGTAACATATGTTTCAATATGACATCATGACGTTGACACTGTAACAAAATTTCAAAATTAAATAAATTTAAAATGACTTAATTTTAACTATTTATGAACTAGGAAATTAATTTGTTTGGATTCAATTCTAAAATTTTCTCAAAATTTACAGTTAAATCCAAACAAAAAGTTCATAAATTGGGTAAAATGTTTAACTTATATTTCTATACAGTTAAGATTACAAAATTCAATAGATTTTCACTTTAAAAATATAATCATCTAAAAATTATTAGTTAATTATTAATTTCTTATTAGTTATAAATCAAGGCCCAATTATTAGCTTAAAGCCAAATGAATGCAGGATTATATTGAGCTATATTAAAGCTACTATTAATTATTAAATGTTATTAACACTTACTTCTAGGCCGAATTACTTAATATTTAATTCTTAATAGTAGCATTAATATAGCCATATATAATCTGGCAATCAGGGTCTTTAAACTAATAATAAAATTTTTAGATGTTTATATCTTTGTGTATATATATATATATACACAAAGATGATTATAGGTAAAAGAAAACAATTTTTTTTTTTACAGCAGAGACTGACAATATACACGCGGATGACACAGAAGTTACCCCATTGGCAGATCACCTATGTGTTCCTCTGTCTTACTCTGTCAATCCACTGACACAAATCTTAATGCTGACATTTTAATGTTTTGTGAATAAAGTTACATTTCATCTTTGTAAATATTGAAACTTTTGGCACATTCTGTATTATTTATATATTGATATATTGTTAGTTGGCAATCAAAACCTTGTATTTGCACTTCTTAAAATTTTACAGAAGAGCTAAAAAACATGGTTTTAAGGGAGCAAAATTTGAGCACAAAATCGTGAGTGTTTGACAATGTCAGAGAAAGGGCCTAAAAGATACACACCACTTACAAAGTTTTGGCAATAGATAGAAATTGACTTTAATAACTCATTAATGCAAATATGTTGTCTTGTCCCATTGGAAATAGGTTTTAATCACCAATCAGCATTATGTTATATTGTATAAATTCAGAGTTTTGAAGAATACTTTATTTGTATAACAACTGAGCATTTTTATTGAACTTTCTTAATTTTAAAATTTAATTACTATAAAAATAATATAATATTAATAAATTAGTTAAAATTACTAAAATTAATTTTAAAAAGCTATGTAAAGAAATGTTAGTTTATTTAATTTATTTAATGTACTAGTTTTGATTGTCTTTATATACAATTTATTTTTAAGGCTGTTTTTGCTTTTATTTTATGTCACTTGTTATTTCTTTTATTGTATCTTTAACATATTTGTTAATACTGCTTTTATCTATGGTGTTCTTGTTTAGGGGTGGTAATTATGTTTCTTTGAAAGCATTACCTTTTGAATATTAAAAAAATTAATATTTATTATAAATAAGTAAACTAACCTTATGCAGAGAGGTGGTTTTCCCAACACTTCTTGGAACTTCTTTGACAGAGAATCCTGATTACATTCAGGCAGAGGACCAAGTATACTTCTAGCATGGACTTTGAAAAAGTAATAAAAAAATCCAGTGCAATTACAAAAACAATTGCAATTTCATATTTATTAATTTGAAAACAATATTCTTAAAAAATATAATTCTTAATTTTCTTGTTAATAAAATAAGTCTGCTGAAATCCATTCACTATGTATACAAAGATCAACTAATACTTGTTACATGTAATTTTTATCAAAAAATTATGAGGGTAAATAAGAAATTATTCACAATGTTCTTGTAAACTTAATTTTAAACATATTTATGAAATAAACCTTTACATCATTTTTTAATGTAGTCTTTAGCCTTTTAACACATCTGTTCACATCTTTTAACACTATCTGTTCACAAGCTTCTGAATCCTATCAGAAAAGAAAATTTCAGATTAAATACAAACCAATTATGCACTGCTTCTTGGAAGTCACTATCTGAAGCAAATCAAAGCATTTTTAAGATGATCAAAAAGATGATAGTCTCAGGAAGCAAGATCAGGAGTTTAAAATGAATGCTTCAGTTGCTAAGGTTCTCTTGCTGCATGACACAGTTTTCTCATAGTTCCTCACTAAGATAGTTAAAACTCTTTAGAAATTGAAGTTTGAGGTAATGGATTATCCACCTGACAGTGCTAATCTCAATCCCTGGTCTATCATCTTTTTGACTTTCTTAAAGATGCATTAGTAAGTCATCAATTTGTTTCATATCATGATGTCCAAGCAGCAGTGCATACTTGGCTTGTGTTTCAGCCTGAAACTTTCTTTCCTGATGGGATTCAGAAGTTTGTAGACCGATAAAATAAGAGTATTGAGACGCTAGAGGACTATGTTAAAAAATGATGTAAAGGTTTGTTTCTCAAAAATTTAAAATAAAGTTTACAAGAACATTGCAGATAATTTCTGATTCATCTTTGTACTAAGATAACAAATACATTCTATAATTGATTATAATCTTAAATTACATAAATTGTGCATGATAGTTTGATCCAAAGGAATTTTCTAATGTTTCAAAGCTATGTCAGAGTCTCTGTTCATGTCAGATCCATAATTTGTTACGTAATAAATATCAAAATATATAAGCATCCCAAGAACCCAAAGTATTAATAATCAACCAACCATGAGCCAAATTAATTGAGCCCAATTAATTTGGCTGATGGTTGGTTAAATATTAAAAATATATCTTTCTCCTTAATGATAATAACAAATATTAATATGTGGCCGTTGGCCATATTATTGTATTTAATAATTAATAATTCTATAAATGTAGGNTAACCAACCATGAGCCAAATTAATTGAGCCCAATTAATTTGGCTGATGGTTGGTTAAATATTAAAAATATATCTTTCTCCTTAATGATAATAACAAATATTAATATGTGGCCGTTGGCCATATTATTGTATTTAATAATTAATAATTCTATAAATGTAGGTTAGGCTTAAAGTTTTCTTTGTTTCTGTCCCTTTCCTGTTGACCAAGAAAAAGACTTCCTTCTTAATTACTTTACTATCTAGCAGAGAGCGATATCAAAAACAACATTGTAAAATGAAAAGAAGAGGAGAAAAACAAAGTAATAAAAAAAAACAAGAAGGAATCTGGGCTCTCGACAGAAAAGGTCGAGGGGGATTGGAACAGAGAAGAAAAGTGAAACTCGATGAGGGAGGTCGAGGAGAAAAAGCTATCCAGCCCATTAAAGGAGGTCAGGAACTNAGGAATCTGGGCTCTCGACAGAAAAGGTCGAGGGGGATTGGAACAGAGAAGAAAAGTGAAACTCAACGAGGGAGGTCGAGGAGAAAAAGCTATCCAGCCCATTAAAGGAGGTCAGGAACTTCCTGCTGGACTGCCAATTTTACTGGACGGACTCGACACCAACAATATTGAAGAAAGTGTATTATTGACGAGAAGAACAGGAGAGATCCATTAAAGAAGGAGAAGAAAGAACCAAGGAAAGCCTCCACGATAGGAGTAGATAATCAGAGACGACAGTAACCCTGTCCAGTATCATGGAGCATCCAGAGTAAAAACACGGGTATTTCCACCTTATATCCTCATTCTCCCTCTCTTTCCTTCTTATAATTTGTAAGTAGATTAAGTATAGATATAGGCACTTATAAAAAAATCAAGTTGTTTTATGTATCTCAGATTTTGTATCCTCACCACCTACATGTGATCCAATGTACTGTACAAAGAACCTGATAACATATAGCGAATTAAAGAATAGTTTGTAAATTAACAAGCAAGTGTTTGTTAATCATTGTTTCGTTGGCAAAAAACGGAAATAATAACACTTCAATTCACTGGAGGTTATCAGAAATATTTACATCCTCTTTCTTCTGCCGAGTGAAAAAAAAAAAAAATACGTACAGATGTACAACATGATTAAAATTAGTTTTTTTAACATGAGTAGCAAGAATGCATGAACACAGTATCAGACTGCAGCTCCCAACAAAAAAAGAACAGAAAAGACACTTGATGATGTTGATAGTATCAAAGCTCAAAACAAGTCCCAGTCCCCAAAATCCTCATAATTAACAGTTAAATTTGTAATAAACAACATAACCATTCCCAACATCCAGTTCTAGGAAGACAATGTTGCCTTCTGCAAGTACTTCTTGGACTTAACAGTTTCCCATACATACAACCACAGACAACCATACGTGGGATTAGACACCACATCACACACCATGTGTGAAAAAGTATCATATTATACTTGTATTATTGCTTCTAATTTTTATACCAATTCTTTTGCTCCACAATAAATTCCAAAAAATAGTCATTAACTTGTGCATTAATAGTCAGAATTATTTCTATGCATCCAATAATTTGGAATATATTTTATATTCTATGAGACAATAACAGACAAATAAAAGTGATTATCTTACTTGAAATCATTATAGAGATTAAATAAAAGTGATTATCTTACTTGAAATCATTATAGAGATTAAATAAAAGTGATTATCTTACTTGAAATCATTATAGAGATTAAATAAAAATAAAAATAAAAATATTTATAACTTTAAATTAGTTCATCCAATATTGAATGTGTTTCTTTTAAACATGCAAGGGTGGATCTATATAGGGACTAATAGGGCTTTAAGGCCCACAAAAACTGAATTATCATTATAAACTTTTAATGCTTTTTCATTAACAATGAGCACTTATTGTATAGCAAAAAATAGTTAATATTAATAATATAATAATAATGATAATTTATAGTATTATTTATATTAACAAAAAATGGGGCCCCATTGGACTTCAATAAGCCCTAGGCCCCTAAAAACCTAGATTTGCCCCTGTAAACATGTCTTACTAAATACATTCAATATCCAGTTTATCTATGAATTATACAAAACAGTATAGTTTTGAGAAGAAAATGTTTAGCAAATGCCATTTGCTAAACATTTTCTATTACAATTTCTATGTAGAATAAAAATTAATATCATATTAGCTGAGTAAAATAATCATTCATTCATGATTGCTAGTGCAGAGAAACAGACAGCTTTCTGTTTAATTTAACAAAGATCTAAAAGTAAAAAAACTGGACAAGATGTAAGATTCTTACTATAAATAAATCTATATTTAATAGCATAACTTTTTCAAATCAAATGTCATAAATTAATATATTTACCAATATTTCCTTTTTTGTTCTATGAATTATTGTTCTTAAAAAATTTACAATTTTCTAATAAGTAAGATTAAAAAGAATACCATAATTTGTAAGACAGTACAAAATACCTAGTCTATATTCTGGATTTTTAGGAACCATTGTGAAAATATTCTCATCAGGATAGTCTACAAAGTTGTTCCAATAATCACTTGATATAGTTAACAACCTTTCCATTACCTGTAGAAGAAAAAAACAAATATTATTTTATAATTTAATATGTTTTTGAATCTTCATAAATTATGTTAATATTAAAATTTTATTATTTCTCCTTCCATCTATAGTTTGTCAATTAAGAAATTAATAATTTATTATAATTACTATTATTATTTCTAAAAAATTTTACCATATGTTGCTTTTTAGTTTCTGTTACCATATCCATTATTGACAGATCTGGAGTAGAAAATCCTATAATTATTGGACCAAAAATTTTTGCCAGTTTGCTTATCGGCATCTTACATTTTGGACTTTTAGCAACTCTATGCAAATAAAAAATTTTATGATAATTTATTAGATATTTAAAATTAAATATCTTTAAAAAAGTTGAGTTTGTAAAATTTCTAATTATTAAAATATTTCTATATATTATTCACAGATGTGGACATAACATCACATCTGCATAAGATGAACAGCAAGAAGTTATCAATATTTGGATGACAAACAAAGCTGTCAAAATCCCATGCCAATACTAGATGTGACTAGAGCATCCCATCATCTGTACTTAACATCAAACATTAATTTTCAGTTTGTTGTTGCAGTTTTAAATCCTACTTTTAAGCAGTTGTTTTCATAATAACTATTAAAATTTGATCAATTCAAATTTATTAATTGTCTTTGCTATCTGTTGACGATGATAATAAATTTGAATTAATCAAATCAAAATTTAATCAAATTCAAATCATTAATTTAATTGGCCTTTTTTAAACAGAATATTTTTAATAATATTTAATAACTAATACTTATTCAATTTGTTAAATGGTCAAATTATCTTGATTATAATGATAATCAATTAAATAAATAAATTCAATAATTAAAAATAATTATATTAATACAGCAAATTGAATTTGATAGTTTTGCAACAAACAATTTAATAGAAAGAAAAAAATGTGAATCCAGTGGCCAAGTGGTTCCATTTCCTAAACACTGGATGTTCGGTCGTGGGTTTGCGATGCACTCAGACAGGCTGGCCATGTGGAGTTTCCAGGTTTTCTCCACATCTGTAATGCCTAAACAGGGGCTAGTTCCCTTTAAAAGACCTCTCAGAAGACATTATTTCCCTTGTGTAACACCTCTATCCAGAGCTGGTAACAGGGGGATACCACTCTGGTTCTAACTTCCCCAAGACTCACCTTGGTGCACCACTAATCATTATCTAACCTGTGCCAGGTGCTTGCCAAAGTTAGGAATGACTGGATATGGCATGAAAAGAAGAAAAAACGTGAATTTAGTATATTCTAGAAAGATAATAGACTACATTAACTAACTTTTGAAGATGGAGAATAATGTAAGATAATGTATCTCTGTTTGGTCTTGGCAACTGAATCACTGCTTGATGTATACTATTTTGACTGTCTTCATTATCTTCCTTTTCTATTAATGTTAAATTATCAATATTTATATAAAAATCTCAATGACAAATACAGTAAAAAAAAAAATACAATACCTGATGCATTAACAAAGTTTGACCATGCAGAGCTTATTATCAATGGTTCTTGAAGAGTTCTTAAGAATTCCTTAACTGTACTGCATATGACATGAATATCGATTTTTGACTAAAATTTTTAACAAAAGTAACTAAATATTAAGTATATAAATGTAAAATACATTGTTAAATATACTATGTAAGTTGAAATTACCAGATCAGGTACTGCTTGCTCTCTTAAAAATTTCTCTTTTAGTTCTATTATATCCTCTTCATTACCAGATACTCTGTAAAGACCAATTTCATTCAGTCCTCTCAATTCTATTTCCTTAATGCAATGTATTATCAAAGTAGGAATCATTGGTGGAACAAGTGGAGTATAGTCTGTTATCATGCCCTATAATTTTTTTTTTATTTAAAGAATTAAATTTCAGTAAAAAATTTTACTCTCAATAATTATTTATAAAAGTTTGTATTTAAATTGCATACCATTTTTTCTTTATTACTTGGAGTATAAGAGAGAGAATCACATAATAAAGGCACTTTATCTATGCATTCTGGATGACAAGCTACTCCACAGTCTTGGCATTTTAGAGCCTGTTTGTAATATTTAATGTGACAGCTGCAAGGTGAACATGTTTCTGGATAAATGACCAGTTTCAAGCAAAATACATGATCTTTACCAATTAGTTTCTCTGCAGAACTGAAATGTTTTGTTTTTTTTTTCATTGTTAAAATAAACTAATTTTTACAGCAGACTTTAACAACAAATTTTGCTTTCTTAGAAAAATAATGTAAAATTATAAGTGAAATAAACAGAAATAATTAAAATTAGTTATATACATTAAATACAAGTTTGATATTATTAATTTATTTTCATTTATGAATTTATTAAAATGAAACAACTTTTTTTGTTTAAAATATTTTTATAACTATTATCATTATTAATTACATTACCCTATAGGCCTATATTACTAATATAGATCTATATTGTTAGATTTTCTGGAAATCTCAACTTGATTTATGCTTAAGATTAAGCTTAGATTAACTTCATCATGGTATCAAAGAAAGATTGCACTGGTACTTCATTTCTAATAAATAAATGACTGAATAAAATTAATTATAAATTAATTTATTATTATTAGACATATAAATAATAAACTGTTTATAAATACATTTATGTATGTATGTATGTATGTATATGTATGTATATGTTTTTGACTTGTGAAAGTACTTGTGGGAGTGATTGACTACTTTCACAAGTCAAAAGCACCATTTTTGTTTGACAAAAGCTTAATAATTCACCCTAATGAAATTATTATTATGCAAAACATAGTTGTATTTATGTATTCATGGTAATTAATGTTCTAGGTTATCTCTTTTTGTAAAAACACTAAGGTTTAAATTAAACAACACTATTTATTTTTCATCACAATAAAAAATATCTTATTTTTTTTTATTGAACAGAAATTATAATTCTTATTTTCTTTAGTGCACTCATTTTACACTGAACTGAATTGTTTATGGTACAATAAAACAATTTCTAAAAATAAAACAGAAGTGTCCTTTGAATTAATGGTCATCAATTCAAAGGACACTTCTTCCTAGCTACCTAGTAGATAACATTACCAACCCATAACAAATAGTTTAACAATTTTTTTGTGAAGAGTAAGAATGTAATATTCCTATTAAAATTACAAATGTTGTTTGTTTTAATAAGCCACATTATCTGTGATTGACCAAACATAATGCAGCAATCAATCGGTCAATCACAATTAACTTGTTGGCCATGCTTGGTATACAGTATACAGATAAATACATCTGTGAATTTACTATCATATTAATGTAGAAATTTTTAAAAATATCTACACGATACATCAAAAAAATAAATTGTAGCAAATATAATTTCTTATAAAAACAAACAAAATTTGGAAATTTTAACTCATATCAATAACACTACAAAATAAAATGGATTTCTGGATTACAGGGTGTTCTGCTTGAAAGTATCTGATTCTAATTCACCATAAAAAATGAATGACTTAAGATATATAAAAGCAATAAGCAGTATCTGATGGAAAAACTCAGTTTTTGTACTGCAAGATGGCACATAAGTCAAATTGTGAACATTATTGTCTGTCCAGTCATGGTTTCACCACAAGTTGTAGTCTGGTATGCTGAGTTAAAATCCATTATTACTGTAAATTTTAACTCAGCACAATATCTCCTCAGATTTCTTTCTATGGGGTTATGTGAAAGATATGGTTTATGCAATTATGGTCAGAGACCTTCAGGATCTTTGGGTGTGTATCATTGCTGCCATTACCACTGTGAGACAGGACATGCTGCAGCATACATGGCAGGAAATTACCCACCATCTTAATGCTGAAACTGAGCACATAGAGATGTGTAATTGGGCTGCAATTTGAAAAAATTATAGATCTATAAATTCCCACTGTCATCAGTCTGCCTGTCTTTCCTTAATCTCAAGAATACAGTTAGATAGGTTAAAGACAAGACCAGATATGGAAACCTTTGGGGTAGGAGGCCCCAATTAACTATATATGAACTTCTGATGCAAACTGGAAGTCACATCATTTCAATTAAAAAATTTCCTCCTAAGAGGTGTAGATAGATGACAGGCACAACTCTATTGTTAAAGAAAAAGTATGATGTATTGTACAGGGACAAGTCACACTTGAGGTGGCGAGCTTATACTGTATTTTAAATTAAATAAATTAAAATATGATTAAAAATTTCAGCCCAGCATTATGACAATGTCACAATAAATAATTGCTCGTTTTTCAAAAAATTTTGGTAAGTTTTTCTCTCATATAAAATCTTTGGTGAACTTATATCTTTAACCATTTAATTTTTTTTATAGCCAAATCAAATTGGGTACTTTTGAGCAAACACCCTGTATTACAAAAAACAGATAGAAACTTTAAAGATAAAAGTGATAACAGTAACAATAATTAAAAATATATATTATTAGAAATAACATTTAACAAATAGTCATTTAATTAATTTCTCAAATGTGTTTTTACTTTAAACAGAATAAAATATTAAATATTTATGATTACTAATAATTAAGTACAGTGCATGAAGACTTACTTTCCAACAGGAATTTTTAATTCATCAGATTCTTCTTGAAAAGGAGTGGATAGTTTTTGTAAATCTAATATTTCTACTAAGTCTTGTTCTTTATTATTTTCTATATTATAATAATAAAGTCTAATAAGTACTTTAAGAAACTTGTATTAAGAAAACATAGAAAGTTTTAATTCATGTCTTTTTAAAATTTTATGCAATGATATATGCCCTCAACTTATAATCACATTTAATATTAAGAATACAGTATACTCCTGATTATCTGAGCTAATCATGGGTAATGGAGACATGGATAATGCAGAAACATGAATAATCAACACATCTGTTTTATTGAAAGCTAATTGTTTTTTCTTTTATTCAGTCTTTAATTTCAAATTAAATTTAACACAATAGTTTACATATTATGAATAAAATACATTTTGAGAATGGTAATTAATTAATAAACTTTAGATATGATCAGAGTTGAATAAAACTTTTGACATAAACAGAAAATTCAGAAAAATTTATTCAACTAGTGCCTCACAATTCACAATCAATTTCTTTTATTATTAACAAAGAATGACAGGTTGCTAGTTAGTTATTATTATAAACTTTTCAATATTAATGATTTATTGATAAAGAAATGATTTGAAATACTTACTTCAAACAAATTTACAACTTATTTAATAAAAAAAATAAATAAAGTACACATATAAGTAAAACTACTGTTCAAGGATCACCTGCAAACTCCCTGTACATGTTAGGCATTTAATTTATGCCTTGACATTCTGGAAGTAGTTCTGATGCTCAAAATACCATTTTAAATAATAAGAGTTAACAACACAGCTGTTTTACTGCTAATATTTGTATTCCTGACATAAAATTTTTATTGAGATCTAAGAATGCATGAATAATCAAGAGTATACTGTATTTGCTTCCTTATTTATACACATTAGTATTATTTTAAAGTTTTGATAAACCTGTAATTATAACATCAGTTTTTTAATGTATAAAAAAACATGATACCTGATTTAGGTGATGACTTAGATGTGTAATTTTCTGACAGAAGAACAAATTCGTTATTAAAGTATTTTGATGCTGTCACTCTACCTGATGACACAGTTTCAATTTTACAATTAAAATCTCTAGAGTTTGGATCAGTAATAGCAGCAATAACTGATGTCTCTCTATTTACTATATTGTCAATTTTCTGAAAAAATATAACTTAATGTTATTTGCAAAAACAAAAGTATATATTTATAAAATGATTGTAATATTTATAAATTGGATTTATATTGATTATATTATCTAGGTATTTTCTAGGAAAATAAAACTGAGCTCTGCAGCATAGTTTTTTTCTGTTTTGACTTGACACAAAAACACAAATATGATCAAATGCTTCTAATATTCTGTCTAAAGCAGTTTAAGACTCATAGGTTCAGGGGAGGATGTGCATGTCTTTCATCATAACTGACAAAAACATCAAGAAATGTTTAAAACACTCACATGTGAAGCCATCAGCCTACCAATGCCAATAACCAGAAAAATTCATTTTGTCAAGGCATTTTGCATGTTAAATGCTCATCATACAAAACAAAAAATTGTCAGAGATCAATGTAAATTGACAGCAATTGGAAACTTGATTGACATATAGTGTGTGATCAGCTTACAACTACCAATCAGTCCTTGGACTTTACATGATAAACTTGACCTTAAATGTATCAGCCTTCATCCCAATATCATCACAATATCCAGCTTACTGAGTGTACATATTTGAAAAAAATCATGTTTAATGATCATGTGGTTACTTTGATCACAAAAAAAACCCTTTTGTTCCCAAAAAAAACACTTTGACTCATGCAAAGTTCTCCTCAACAAGACCAACACTATTAACAGTAGCACCTAATGAAATATCCAAATTCCATCCTACTGTACAGTACAGTTAACTTTTTTATATTTTTAATTGTTAAAATGGTGCCCTTAGAGCTAGTACACATTAGGCATTGGGCATTGCGTTAAACGTGCATTAGCGCGTACACATTGCACATTTAGCTCATTTGGAACCGTTGTGACTGTTCACACTGGCTCAGTTTGGAAATGGACATGAAAGTAATTGCTTGTGTGTGCCTCCTCCATCGTCACTATACAAGACGATGGCAGAGGCAAAGAGAATTTTGAATGCACCCAATATTACAAGATAGACTGACACTTAGAATGTTTGTGACGTATCCAAAACTAAGATAATATGAACCCAAGTTTTTTAATTCTTTTAGAATATCTATAAAATCATTTGACGATGGCTGGTCTCTTTTAGATTTCATCAATAGATCAGTATCGAAATGATCATTCTCCATTTTGGCCAATGTACATCCACTCTATCCAAAAGCGTGCGATTGAATGTACAACAATATGGCAGCACATATATCTCAAAGCACGTGACTGATAACAGCGAAACGCATGTTCTAACCAAAATCTATCAGTCTTGGTCGCTTGGCTGGAAGCGCGGATTTGAGTGTGTATATATATATATATATATATATATACACACTCAAATCCGCGCTTCCGGCCAAGCGACCAAGACTGATAGATTTTGGTTAGAACATGCGTTTCGCTGTTATCAGTCACGTGCTTTGAGATATATGTGCTGCCATATTGTTGTACATTCAATTGCACGCTTTTGGATAGAGTGGATGTACATTGGCCAAAATGGAGAATGATCATTTCGATACTGATCTATTGATGAAATCTAAAAGAGACCAGCCATCGTCAAATGATTTTATAGATATTCTAAAAGAATTAAAAAACTTGGGTTCATATTATCTTAGTTTTGGATACGTCACAAACATTCTAAGTGTCAGTCTATCTTGTAATATTGGGTGCATTCAAAATTCTCTTTGCCTCTGCCATCGTCTTGTATAGTGACGATGGAGGAGGCACACACAAGCAATTACTTTCATGTCCATTTCCNATTGGAAGCGGTGGATGCGCCACTTCCCTTGTATTTTCTAAAAAATAAATACATATTAATTTTAATTATATGAAAATAATCGCACAATATTTTATTATAACCGCATTATGTATCTTATTACAAATTTCTATACTACATGTGAAAAAAAAGACAGGATTGCTATTGTATATTCAAATACTGTATTAGTGGTGGAGTGGAAGCGCTTTATTGTCAGCTTCCAAACAGCCAGATTCGCGCATGCACTTTACAGAGCACCAACCTCACCCAGTTTAGTTGGTGGAAGCCTAGGACCTTGGGGGAATGCTACACATATAACGCTTCCAATTCTATGCAGGACTGGTTCTGGGCTGTTAGCCGCCCTCGCCCGATTACGTGAATCACGAGTAGATTTATAACTTAACCTAACTGATAAGAATTTACCTGTGTTTTTATGATAGTTTTCTGTATAGTTGACAGGAGTTTTAAAAAATCCATTAAAATATTTGATATTTTTATTCCGCTCTCCCATCTTATATTACTTATGGATTTCAATGTTAAACCAGTGATATTATGATTTTGTGTGTCCCATCTCTAAGGGAATGTAGAAAAAAACATGTACAATTCTTGTATAATGTTAAAAAATTAACTGTTACTTCAACAGCATCATTTACAACTAAATTTAATGAATGAGAGAGATGCACACGGTACAGAAAAAGCTCTAGAATTTATTTTCCTTAAATTTACGATTTATGTATCTGTTTGTCATAAAAATTTGTCTTTCCACTTTTTTCCCAAGACTACAAATACTCAAGTACAAAGTAACAGGTTTCTACTTAAGTAGTAGTTAAATAATTAAGCGATTAGGGAATTGGGGACATAAACAAAACCCTGACGAAAGAACCGAAATTTTACTTAAACAAAAGCTTAACTGAACCATCTCTAGCTGAGTACAGTGGAGACTGATTTCTTCGTATTATTAATGTAATAAAGACAGAAATTTTTCCAGTTCAATGAGAATGACCAAAAAGTTGTAAATTTTGGAAATTTTCGTGGACAACACCTGGTCCTAAAACGAATTAGTTAGAAAACAAATGATGGACAATCTATTAAGTTTAACATATGTGAAATTCAAGATTTATATAAGGTAATAAAAGCATTTAATCCTTTAAATTTTTAATAAATTTAAATAAAAATTCCTTTAACTAGAAGTTGCACCTNGGACAACACCTGGTCCTAAAACGAATTAGTTAGAAAACAAATGATGGACAATCTATTAAGTTTAACATATGTGAAATTCAAGATTTATATGAGGGAATAAAAGCATTTAATCCTTTAAATTTTTAATAAATTTAAATAAAAATTCCTTTAACTAGAAGTTGCACCTGCAGAAACAAAATTTGAGGTGCATGAGTAAATTATAACTCTTTCTATTTAACTATAAACATTCTCACGATCAATCTGTGAATAGTTTACAATTATTGACAAAATTCGTCATATTGTTGTCATTCTAACACCAACTTTAACCTCACACCTGCGAAAACAATTGGTCACCTGACGAATTTTCCCACCAAAAATGTATAAAAGCCATCCTCCTTCCCCTCTCGGGGGAGTCTCCGATCGAATGGCGAAGAAGGACTTTCACTTCCCGTGGACCTGCTGAACGACACTGATTAGAAAACCTATTGCCAACTCGCACCACCTTTTCGAAATAAGCTGAAGTATCCATCCGATACTATCACAGAGGTATGAAATATTATTGTAAACTCCCTCTCTCATCCGTGAAGTTTTGTAAACTTTTTATTTAGTTAGCACGTTAAATAAACTGTTGTTTGTTTTTAAATGGTGTCGTTACTCGACTTTGCCAACATCTTATCGTCGACCCCTCCGACTCTCCTCCACTCGCGTAACGCGTAACTGAACGGTACGCTATCCTTGACAAGAAAGTAGGTCACCGGGAAGGAGAGGACTTCCCAACCTCCCCGGCGGCTCACAAATTGGTGTCACGGGAGTGGGGTTTGAATCTAAAAACCCCTAGAAATATCACAAATTGGTGTAGCAGGAGTGGGGTTTCGAACTAAAAATCCCTAGCAAACTCACACATATTTAGACTTTTACAGCTATGGTGAGAAACATTTAAAATTTACAAGAACTCTGTTGCGTCTTTTAAGGTATATTAGTGATGCAACAAAAGAGGCATTTGAAATTAACCAGTATCGGCACCCTCGGGATTTGGCAGACTGCATGCACGTACAGTACACACCGCATACCTAGCAGGACCATCTCTGATTCCACTCGTAGGGAGCTATTTGACTAAGTGGTTAAGATTTAAAGAGTAAAGAATATTTTGTGTTATTTTTATGTACGTTTCATTACAAAGCTATATTTAATTATAATTTTCTTTAAAAGTATATTCATACAATTGAAGATTTTGTGCCAGGTATGGATATCCACTACACATTTTATTTCACCAAGTAAGTTTTTATAATTTTATTTTTAATTTTAGCCCTTATATCGTGGCTAGCGATTCGGAATGTAATTGCGATATTGAAAATTTATTTTAAAAAAGTTTTGGCTCGAGATCATATAATGAAAAAGAAAACATTATTAAAA